TAGTCTAGTATTATTGTCTCGCAGTTGTTACATTCCTATGTTCATTGGTTCTTTGTACAGAGATGTATTGTGGAGTAGGAGCCACAAATGACCGAATCGTAGGGAGGAGTAATGAGATGAGAGAGTTTGGAAAGTCTAGTTGATAAATCGAGTTTAGGACTAGGGCGAGCTTTTAGTCTTGTTTAGGTTAGTAGTTTTCTGATCAGTATTATCTATTTCTTAGTCTGTTTTGTTTTCAATGTCATGGAATTCTTTTGCGGTTAATTTTAGGAATTTGGAAATGTTAAGAATCTGAATTGTGTTATCTCTAGGCTGTTTTTATATTTTTGTTTCTAAATCCACTGTTTGGATCCCTTTATGGAGGATAAAGCTAAAACCCGTTGAAAGAGTAAAGAAATATGTCATGGTTACACGAGTCTATTTTACATGAGCTTTAATAGCATCTATGGAATCCCCGACGAGGCGAAATTGAGCCTTAAAAAGACAGGAAGATACCCAACATTACATTTTAACTCTTTTACATGCTGCTAATATCATTATGAGAAGACGACTTGAGCGAAGAATATAATGTAATAGTAAGTTCAACCCTAAAATGAAAAACTGACATGATATAGAAAAAGGTTCTATTAGATCCATTTTTGGCTATTTATCAAAAATTAATTGATGAACAATTAATAAATTTACTGAATAAGTAAAAAAGCATAAATAATAGCACTGTAATTTGATGTGGTTAGGTAACTTGCCTACATTCATGGGCCACATTCAGCTATTGAATAATGGGAAGATTTCAGGTTAAGTTTTCATCANTCATCAATTTCAAATATTAGAATTTTTTAAATTTTATTTATAAATAAATAAACTAAATATATATTTTATTAATTAAATATATTAATGTCACAATTCCATATAATTGGTAACAAAAAACAATTTTTATATGTCACAAATTATTTTACAATCAAAATTAAAAAAATTTATAGGTCACAAATGAAAAAAATTATACATCATAATTTATTCATCGGTCACAAATCTATCAAATTAATAAGTCACAAATCACATCTTTTATATGTCACAAATTATCTTACGATCACAATTCAAAAATTTTATAGGTCACATTTTGTTCATGATCACAAATCAAAAAATATTATAAGCCAAAATTTATTTGTCGTTCACAAATCACAAATATTATAAGTCGCAACTTATCATACAGTCATAAATTTCATATTATCGGTCACAAATTAACAATTTTTTAGGTCACACATTATTTCTTGGTCACAATTTATCTTTTTCATTTGTCACGAATTAACCAAGTTAATAGTCACAATCAACCAAATAATTTGTGACTACCACCAACACTTGTGACCACCACCTCACCACTCCCTCCACAGCAATACCATCGCCACCTTCGCTGCCAAAACCACCACCACCACTACCACCTGTCGACTATCATTTTCAATTACAAAACTATCACTACTAGATTCACCACCACTAAATCCAACAAAAATCATCGCAAGCGCCAGATCCACAACCAACGTCGACAACAAAAACCACAGTCTCACCAGATCAAAACCACTACAACCGACACCCAAACACCACCAACAAATTAGATCTAAAACCGCCAGCGTCCTACACCACCGCCAGCACCTTACACCACCTCCAACATCACAGTCCGCCACTACCACCACATCATATCCCACCACCATCGCCACCACGAGCATAACCAACACAATCGCCACCTCCTCCCCAAATCGCCAACTTCACCATCGCAGCCAACATCACAACCACCACCACCACCACCACCACCCAAGACCACCAAAAAATCAGATCCCAAGTCGGACTTCAAAGCAACCTGGATGTCGCACCACAACCACCACTAACTTACTTGACCGCCACATTACAACCATTGTCGCCACCAACAAAACAACATCTTCCACCATATCCAATACCCCTCAAAAATAACCACAAACCATTGTAAAACAACACAAATCGCGCACAGGGTGCTTAGTTCACCATTGCGCAGTGACGAACTAAGTGTTGCTACTAAGATCAGCGGCACTCAAGGTGCTGCAACTCGGATAAGTCACGCTCTGAGCGTCACTGTAGTCGGAGCATCGACGATCTGAGCCGTTCTCAGCAGCGTTGGTTGGCGCATCTCCTTCGTCACCAGTTGTAGGAGTTTGAATGGGTCGTCGGTTGCCGGAGAGAGAGAATTGAGAGAAAAGAAGAGGGAGAAGAGAAAGAGGAATGAAGAGAGATAAGGGAGAGAAATGAAATAAAATTAGAGTTTGTATGGGTATAATATTTAATTATTAATTCAATATCCGATTTTTGAAAAGTGAAGCCTTATATTTGAAATCTAAAATTGAATCTTGAAAACTCTTGTTTTGTGTAATTTCCACTTGAATAATCCTCAAGTTAAAAGAGATTACAGAGAAAATGTATTTAGTCCAGTTTGACAATCATTATTTGAATTTTTTTTTTTATATATTCATTTTCAATTACACATTTATAAATATTTTATATGTAAACTCAAAATTTTTCTCTACTTTTTAATCACACATTCTTCTAAAAATCA